GCTAAGACAACCACTCTTACCAATGTATTACATCTCCTTCCAGAGATACGCTATGCATATGTCTACTAAAAATACAAAATTAGCTTGGCATGGTGGCCCATATCTGTAATACCAGCAACTGGGGAGGCTGAGACAGGAGAATCGCCTGAACCCGGGAGGCAGAGGTTGCAGTGAGCTGAGGTGGCGCCACTGCACTCCAGCTTGGGCAGCAAGAGGGAAACACTGTCTCAAAACAAAACAACAACAACAACAACAAGAACAAAACCAGAAAGGGCAACTTGCTGCAAATATTGCTCTGCACCTTGCTTTTTCACTAAACAATATATTTAGGAGGTCTTCCGTATCAGTAGGTAAATAACTGCTTTATTATTTTAGGAGACTGCACAATATTCCACTATAGGGATGGACCATCATTCACGTAACCAGCTTTTATTGAGGGACATTGAGGTTGATGTCAACCTTTTGAAATTACAGTGAAACAGCAAATAATCTTGCACTCATGTTTTCCTGCACATGCATGCCTCTCTCAGTAAAGATTCCTGAATCAAAAGATGTGTGCTTTTGTCATGTAAAATTTTTTTACTTATTCATTTACTTTTGAGACAGGGTTTTGTGGTGTCACCCAGGCTGCATTTCAGTGGCATAATCATGGCTCACTGTAGCTTGACTTCCCAGGCTAAAGTGACCCTCCGGTCTCAGCCTCCCAAGAAGCTGGGAGCACAGGTGTGTGCCACCACGCCTGGCTAATTTTTAAATTTTATTTTCAGTAGTGACAGGATCTTCCGATGTTGCCCAGGCTGGTCTCAAACTTCTGGGCTCAAGCAATCCTCCTGCCTCAGCCTCCCGAAGTACTGGTATTATGGGCTGTGCTTTTGTAATTTTAATAGGTATGGACAAACTGAGACTATTGATGTTCTTGTTAGCAGACTTCATACTTAAGTGCCCCTTTCCCTACACCTTCCCCAGTTCTATCCAAATAAAAATCAACATTTTTGATCTCTGCTGTGGAATTGGTAAGAAATGTATCTCTGTACTTTTACATTTGAAATATATTCTTCAGAGGTTGAGCATCTTCATATGCTTACTTGTCATGGCAACCACTTCTAGCCTTTGTAATGATTTCTTCTAGTTGTTTATTTCTACAAAGCTAAATAATGTTTGCATGCAGCCATTCATTGATTTATCAGCATTAGACATTATTGATTTTTGCTCCAATACATAAGGATTTATCTCACTTACAGTGTCATCCTTGCACCTCCTCT